TTATTCATTTTGATGAGTAGTTTAAGGCGAATAAGCTGCTGCTGCACTCGTGCACATCCTGCCACTCAACGGTACCTGGCACGCATACATACACTAGGCGACAAATGAAAGTGTAAACCTTTTTCTAATATAATATTCATTAATATTATTAATATTATTTTCATGAAAAATTTTTTGTATTAATTATTTATGAAAAACTAGTTCATTCTATATTTTAAACTATACTTACAAATCAAAGTTTCACACCTTATATAAAGCTCACAAAATTTTCAACTGTTTATTCAGAATTTCCAGAAAATTTTCGAGTATGCAGTTTTGTAGCTCAATCAATTTTAGTCTAATGAAGTGCAAGTTTCAACCGACTAAAAAATTGCGTTGATTTTTCACAATTTTTTCCGGGAGACTGCTTTTGTGTTTTTTTTTTTAAATAACAAGTGCAATTTATAAAAACTGGTGTTGAATTTTTGAATATTGGTTGCTAACGATCTCTCGCATTTTATTTCATAAGGAGTTCTTGTTTATATGAAAAAATCCGTCACAAAAAAAAAAAATTCTCAAAAAACAACGGAATTTTTTTAGCCCTTTGAAATTAGCTAAAATTGAATGAACTACAAAGCTGCACACTCGAACATTTTCTAGAAATGCTGAATAAAATGTTAAAAACCCTTTTGAAATTTTTTTTGACTTTTAGCGAACTTTATATTAGTGTGAAATTTTGATTTATGTGGTTTATATAATAGAATGAACGATATTTTCATAAATAATTAATGCAAAATAAATTTTCATGAAAATAAGTGTGAATTTTATATTAGAACAAGTTGTGGACTTTCATTTGTCGCCTAGTGTATATATATGTATATACGCACAAAGAGAACCGACCGTGTGTACAGAACGCCGCCATCACACCACAATTAATTGAGAGCAAAGTGTGGCTCAGCTGCTGGTTTTGGTTCCTGGCTTATGGCGATAGCCAGCCACCGGTCGGATTCCACTGCCAACGAACAATGTCTACAAATGAGCGGCTCTAAAAGTGTATGTGGGTATACTTTGGCAACTAAATTTATATATGTATATCTACACACATACGCATATGATTTCCTTGTAGGGAAATGATTTATTTGAGAGAAAAATGCGGGAATAAGCATTCCATTGCGGTTGCACCTTCATCTGAATTATCTGTAAAATATATATATCTACTCCCGATATCCCGATATTAAAATCTACATCGAAACTGGTGCCAAGGGAACTAGTCTTTATAAACCTAGTTTACTTCTAGTTTTATATTAATTAGCCGATTTTGAATCACTTTTCTAGTTGATGGAAGAAATACATTTTCAACTATGTAGTTGCTCGTCAAGTAGTTAGGGACTGGTCCTTAACTCTGCATCACTAGTTTGCCTACTTTCGAGTTTATAATTTTTTTTAAAGATTTTTCCCACAGGCACTGCAAAAGCAATCTTTGAGTTCATGTACACAGGCACTTACACATGTACATATGTATGTGTGTTTGTCTCAGTCGAAAGTCCCACTTATGTAGTTGCTGGCAACTCTTGACGACATTTAAATAATTTCTCTAGTGTTGGCATTTTAATTATTAAATGTAGCTCATAAACCAATACGCGTACACTGTAAGGCGAACAAAGTACGTACATATGACACATGCAACACAGGACTTGGTGACACCAACAACAACAACAACAATATCTAGTAGATACTCGTAGTAGTTGTAGCAATGTTGGCAATGGCTTTAGCAGATGAGCTGCACTCCAAACGAGAGAAAAAGCAACATCAACAAAAAAAAATGAAAACATCAACAAATGTAGCAAAAAACGAAACTTCAGCAAAAGTAGAACGAAATGGCTTGAAGTACCCCACCTTTGCATGCGCGACACAGCAACGGGACTTTCTACACACAGCCACGCATATTTGGTTGATATTTTAATTTGAGAGTGAGGCGGCCAGCAGCTATCCGCATGTGTGTGGACAGCTAAGCCGCACACATGTCAGTTCCGTTTCCACATTGCGCCAACATTTGTTTGCCTGTGCAGCGTAGGGCACCTCAGCGGTTCGGTAAAGCAGTCAAGCAGGATTTTATTTTTTATGCTTTGCGTAGCACATATGAAGATATGCAAGCATTTATTCGTCCTGCGGCTGTGAAGACATTAAACACTGTCAACAGCACGTTTTTAATACAGCTGTGAACAGCAGTAACGCCAGCAACAACAACA